CAGCAAATGCCTAAAGTGTTAGCAGTTCCCATTCAATTGTATCAAACAGCTGTGATTAAAAGAGAGACACATCACTTCACAGGGTTTTTAATATTGCGTTTACTTAATGCCTAATATTTCACAAGTATATATTTGTGAGGTCAGATAAATAAAATTAAATGTACAGATCCAGGCTGTTATCTGAACTCAATGACTTAATTTTGTCTTTTTGTCTCTCTGTCATCCCATAGCGGGAACATAGAGAGCAGAAGAGAAACAACGTTTCTGCTTCTTTTCCTCCAATACAATGTGTGCCCTGTCTGTGTTAGGACTGACCAGGATTGTGGTGTGTGTGTGTGTGTTTTTTGTGTGTGTCTGTGTGTGTGTGTAAAGAACTGGATACCTATCGGCATCAAATATAGTTCCATGTCAAGTTCTTATTTGGATACAGAGGGGTGAAACAGCTTAGGGATGAATCACAACATCAGCATAATTCATTTAGGAACACTAGATATTCAGGTAACGTGGAATTCTAGTGTAAGCTCTTCATGGCATGATGCAACCGATCTTGACAGCACTATGTTAATTCTGAGGTGCTTAATCTGGACTGTCTTGCTATATCTGGGACATTTGGGATATGTTACCCCCAAAATTTTTATTCCTAATACTCTAGAATCCCTTCAACCCCGGATCCATTCAGGGTAGAACTGAAGACATCCCAGGCAGGGCCGGCGCTTCCTATAAGGCGAACTTGGCAGCCGCCTAGGGCGCTATATAGGAGGGGGCGCCTTGCGCTCCCATCGCTGGCCCTTTAAATGCTGCAGCCGCCTGAGCGTTCTATAGAGAGCGCTCAGGCGGCTGCCGCACTGCCTTTCTCCTCACCTCCCCTTCCTGTAGTGTGGCCGAGCTCCTCTCCGGTCTGTGACCCGGCCGGACTGATAGGAAGCGCACACTTAGTGAGCACTTCCTGTCAGTCCGGCCAAGTACAGGAAACAGAAACTCCTGTACTGCGGACTGGAGAGGAGCTCGGCCAGAACACAGGGAGGGGAGGGGAGGGGGGGAGTAAGAAGAACTGGGGCGGGGGGAGTCAGAAGAATGGGGGGGAGTAAGAAGAATGGGGAGGGGAAGTGTCAGGATACTGACAGGGATCCAATACGCAGAGTGCGGACAGGAGGAGGTACGTATACCGGACCTTAGAATGGCCGGACTAACGTATGGACAAAACAAGAATAGTCAAAAGGTAAGCCGAGGTCGAGGGAGCCGGAGGACAGGTAAGCGAGATACAAGCCGAGTCAAAGGAGAGGAGAGGACAACAGGACAAAAGACAAGCAAGGTCAAAACCGGAAACACTAAGAGAGAGAACGCGCTGAGTGACTAGCAAGCTAGAACCACGACAGGGCAATGAGCAGTAGTAAAGGTTTCCTTTAAATACCCTGTCACCTTAATTGAGACCACGCCCCCAAAAGGTCCGGAATAGCGGTTCCCGGCACTTCACGTAATGCTGACGTCATGACGTCGACGCTAGCCGTCGCGTCATAAAAGGGGGAGGAGCTAGCGCGGCCGGCGCGAAAACGGCCGGAATTTGCCGAAATGCTAGGGGCAAGGAGCCCCTAAACAGAGAGGATGTCTTCCCTGGAGTCAGCACCAACAGGTACCCTGACAGTACCCCCCCTTCTAGAAACGCCCACGGGGCGGATGGGACCGGGCTTAGAAGGAAAACGAACGTGGAAGGCCCGAAGAAGGCGAGGAGCATGCACGTCTACACAAGGAACCCAAGACCTCTCTTCTGGACCATAACATTTCCAGTCTATGAGGTATTGCAATTTCCCCCTAGAAATACGAGAATCCAGGATGGACCTAATGATATATTCTTCCTGACCATCCACACGGACCGAGGGTGGAGGAGCAGAGCGGGAGGAAAATTTGTTACAAACAAGAGGTTTCAATAAAGACACATGAAAAGAGTTAGGGATGCGTAGAGTAGGGGGCAGATCCAGCAAATAAGAAACCGGGTTGATCCTCCTCAGCACCCTGTAAGGGCCTATGTAACGAGGAGCAAACTTCAAAGAGGGGACTTTCAGGCCAATGTGTCTGGTACTCAACCAGACCCTATCACCCGGAGAAAAAATAGGAGCAGGCCGTCTACGTCTATCAGCATGCAACTTAAACACTGCGGAACTACATGTAAGAATTTGTCGAGTCTGATCCCACAACTTTCTCAGGTTGGCTATATGAATATCAACCGACGGTACCCCCTGGGAAGGAGACACCGACGGAAGAACAGTAGGGTTAAAGCCATAGTTCAAGAAAAAGGGGCTATTACGAGTGGAACCACAAACAAGGTTGTTGTGAGCAAACTCCGCCCAAGGAATCAGACCGACCCAGTCATCCTGGTGTTCAGAAACAAAACAACGTAGATATTGCTCAATTTTTTGGTTAGTGCGTTCGGCTGCTCCGTTAGATTGAGGATGATAGGCCGAAGAAAAATTCAGTTTGATGCCCAACTGGGAACAGAAGGATCTCCAAAAACGGGAAATAAACTGGGAACCCCTGTCCGACACAATCTCATTGGGAATACCATGCAAACGGAAAATTTCTCTAGCAAATATCACGGCCAGTTCAGGAGAGGACGGAAGTTTAGGCAAGGGAATGAAATGAGCCATTTTAGTAAACCTGTCAAGGACCGTGAGGATAACCGTGTGCCTACTGGAAACCGGCAGATCAACAATAAAATCCATAGCCAAACAAGCCCAAGGTTTGTTGGGAACGACTAAGGGCTGCAATAAACCACAAGGGAGATCCCGTGGTAGTTTATTCCTGACACAAACATCGCAAGCCTTGACAAAGTCTTCCACATCCCTACGTAAACTAGGCCACCAGAAGTCTTTGGAGATCAGGCAGTAAGTTTTGTGTATGCCGGGGTGACCAGCGAACTTGCTATCGTGAAAACAGCGAATAATGTCCACTTGGAATTTGGGAGACACGAACAAGCGGCCCACAGGAGTACGCTCGGGAGCAAGAGATTGTTCGTTCATTATATCTAAGAGCAATGGAGAGTGTATTTTGACATTGGTGTTGGCGATAATATTGACTTCAGGAATAATAGGGAACAAAGTGTCTTCTGTAGAGGCGATAGGTTCGTGCTGACGAGACAATGCGTCTGCCTTAGTGTTCTTAGAACCAGGCCTGTAAGTAAGTATATAATTAAAGTGTGTAAGGAACATAGACCAACGTGCTTGCCTGGCAGATAATCTTTTGGCCTCCCCCATATAAGATAAATTTTTGTGATCAGTCAAGATAGTAACTGGGAGAACAGTGCCCTCTAACAGATGTCTCCATTCCTTTAATGCCATAATGATAGCTAAGAGTTCTCTATCACCAATGTCATATCTCCTTTCAGTGTGTGATAGTTTCTTGGAAAAAAAAAACGCAAGGGTGCAGCGGCTTATCTAAACTTTGTCTTTGGGACAACACTGCGCCTATCCCTGTTTCAGACGCATCAACTTCAAGTAAAAAGGGTAGAGAGGTATCAGGATGAACTAATACAGGTGCTGAGGCAAAAGACTGTTTGAGCGTTTCGAAAGCAGATAAAGCCTCAGTAGACCAGGTTTTGGTATCGGCTCCTTGTTTGGTCATATTAGTGATAGGAGCGATAACAGAGGAGTACCCTTTAATAAAACGTCTGTAATAATTAGAAAATCCAAGAAATCTTTGTATGGCTTTGAGTCCCTTAGGTAAAGGCCAATCTAAAATCGATTTTAGTTTGGTCGGGTCCATCATAAACCCGTCTTTGGAAATTACGTAACCTAAGAAAGTTACCTGAGACTGATCAAAGCTACATTTTTCCAATTTACAATACAATCCATGTTGTAAAAGTTTCTGCAATACCCTTCTGACTTGTCTATGATGTGAGTTAATGTCTCTAGAATGTATTAGTATATCATCCAAATATACAATCACACATTCATGTTGGAATTCTCTAAGAACTTCATTGATCAAGTCTTGGAAGACGGCCGGGGCATTACAAAGCCCAAACGGCATTACGGTATACTCATAATGCCCGTAACGGGTATTAAATGCTGTCATCCATTCATCTCCTTGTTTAATTCGTACCAAGTTATATGCTCCTCTCAAGTCAAGTTTGGTAAAAATACTCGAGCCCTTAAGTCTGTCAAAGAGTTCAGTAATCAAAGGAATAGGGTAAGCATTCCTGATAGTAATTTTGTTCAATCCCCGATAGTCTATACAAGGACGTAAGGTACCGTCTTTCTTTTCTACAAAAAAGAAACCCGCCCCCGCCGGAGAAGAAGACTTTCTAATAAATCCTTTGTCTAAATTCTCCTTGATGTATTCCTCTAAAACTAAGTTTTCCTTGGTGGATAGAGGGTATACCGTACCCCTGGGAGGCATAGTACCAGGGAAAAGTTTAATAGAACAGTCATAAGACCGGTGGGGAGGTAAAGTATCCGCCTTACCCTTGTCAAATACAGATTTGAGGTCTAGATATTGTAATGGTATCTGAACGTCTGTGGATTGGGAAGAGTTAGTATAAGAGTTTACGGGGCAAACAGAAGTAACTCTCTGCAGACATTCTTTCCTACAACCAATACCCCAAGAAACGATTTCTCCACCCTCCCAGTCAATCTGAGGGTTATGTCTCTTGAGCCAAGAATATCCTAGCACCACTGGGACTGCCGGGGAGGAAATTAACAGAAGGGAAATCAACTCCTCGTGGAAGATACCAACAGTAAGCTTAACGGGTTTGGTCTCATGGAATATTACTGGTTCCGATAAAGGTCTACCATCTATGGCCTCAACGGCCAAGGGTGTATCTCTCAGTTGGAATGGAATACAATGCTTATTAGCGAAGGTTTGGTCTATAAAGCTTTCTGCTGCTCCAGAATCTAACAATGCCATCGTAGAAATAAACCCATTTTCCCAAGCTAGAGAGACAGGAATCAGAAGCCTATGGTCTTTTTTATAATGTATAGAGGACAGTAACGAAACACCCAAGGCCCGTCCTCTAAGGGAACTTAGGTGCGAGCGTTTCCCGGGCGATTAGGGCAACTAAGACGTAGGTGACCTCTCTGCCCGCAGTATAAACAGAGACCCTCCCTTCTTCTGTACTGTCTCTCAGCCTCAGATAAGCGAGTATTACCTATTTGCATAGGTTCTGGTGGAGTAGGATTATAGGAGTCAGGGTTCTGAAATGAGGGAGCAAGTCTTACAGGAAGTCTAGTAACTCTTTCCCGAGTGTTCTGCCTCTGTCTCATGCGTTCATCTATTCTGGAAATGAAAGATACTAAATCCTCTAAATTTTCCGGAAGTTCTCTTGTGGCAATCTCATCTAGAATTTCATCAGACAACCCATTCAAGAATACATCCATAAAAGCTTGTTCGTTCCATTTCACTTCTGCTGCCAATGATCTAAACTCTAATGCATATTCTACGAGGGTCCTATTCTGTTGTTTAAGGCGTAACAGGGATCTGGCCGCATTAATCTTCCTTCTTGGGGGGTCAAAAGTCCTTCTAAATGCCGTGACAAAAGCAGTGTAGTTGTAAACTAGAGGATTGTCATTCTCCCAAAGGGGATTGGCCCATCTAAGTGCTTTATCTATTAGCAGAGTTATAATGAAGCCTACTTTAGCCCTGTCAGTAGGGTAAGCCCGGGGTTGAAGTTCAAAATGTATGCTTATCTGGTTTAAAAAACCACGACAAGCATCGGGCGAACCCCCATAACGCAACGGTGAAGTGACATGGGAAGATGTGCCTACAGTGGCTACTTCCAAACCAGTACTTAGTGGGAGGCTAGCAGTGGAACGTACTTCTTCTGACTGGGTGCTGGGACGTGTTAGCAAAGTTTGTAATGCTAAAGCCATTTGGTCCATTCTATGGTCCATGGCCTCAAATCTGGGGGGAAGGAGGACTAGCACCTGCAGGATCCATTTGGCCCTGTCGTAATGTCAGGATACTGACAGGGATCCAATACGCAGAGTGCGGACAGAAGGAGGTACGTATACCGGACCTTAGAATGGCCGGACTAACGTATGGACAAAACAAGAATAGTCAAAAGGTAAGCCGAGGTTGAGGGAGCCGGAGGACAGGTAAGCGAGATACAAGCCGAGTCAAAGGAGAGGAGAAGACAACAGGACAAAAGACAAGCAAGGTCAAAACCGGAAACACTAAGAGAGAGAACGCGCTGAGTGACTAGCAAGCTAGAACCACGACAGGGCAATGAGCAGTAGTAAAGGTTTCCTTTAAATACCCTGTCACCTTAATTGAGACCACGCCCTCAAAAGGTCCGGAATAGCGGTTCCCGGCACTTCACGTAATGCTGACGTCATGACATCATAAAAGGGGGAGGAGCTAGCGCGGCCGGCGGATTGCCTACTTACAACCAGATGAGGATGATGATGGGCTCTAGCTGCAGTGTGGCTCCACTGGTCTGGTGTAGAACAGGCTGTCTGGAGGCTGTTTGTAACTGTGGTCACAAAAATCAATGTTCTGGGAGAACGGGAAGCAGCTCCATTTTTTGGGGGCCCTTTACACAGCTCAAGGTCTGGGTCCCAGGGTCCACCTTTATGTTCCACCAATGAGTTTGTTCACTGGGGGTGGAGTGTGTAGGGGATGTCCTGATATGTGTGTAAGGAATGCATTGTGTGAATCTGTGTTTGTATATGTAAGGGCTGCAAGGTGTGTTTCTGTGTATGTACCGGATGCAGTGTGTGCGTCTGTAAGGGGTTCATTGAGTGTGTGTAAGGGGTGCATTGAGTGTGTGTAAGGAATGCATTGTGTGTTTCTGTGTGTGTAAGGGATGCATTGTGTGTAAGGGTTGCATTGCTTGTGTGTGTGTCTGTGTGTGTAATGCATTGTGTGTGTAATGCATTGTGTGTTTTTCTGTGTGCAAGGGGTGCATTGTCTTTGTGTGTAAGGGGTGCATTGTGTGTGTGTGTGTGTGTGTGTGATGTCAATCTCTCCCCCCTCCCTTGTCACTCTCTTCTCCCCCCTCTCCCTCCCTTGTCACTCTCTTCTCCCCCCTCCTTTTTCACACTCTTCTCCCCTCCCCCTCCCCACTCTCATTCCCCCTCCCTCCCCTGTCACTCTCACCCCCTGTCAATTTCTTTCTCTCCCCCCTGTCAATTTCTTCTACCCCACCTGTCAATTTCTTCTTCTCCCCCACCTGTCAATTTCTTCTTCCCCTACCAATTTCTTCTCCCCGTCAATTTCTTCTTCTCCCCCCACCAATTTCTTCTTTTCCCCTCCTCCTACTAATTTCTTCTTCTCCCCCTACCAATTTCTTCTTCTCCCTCCCTTACCTTCTTCTCCCCCCTACCAATTTCTTCTTCTCCCCCTCCTACCAATTTCTTCTTCTCCCTCCCTACCAATTTCTTCTTCCCCATCCCCTCATTTCCTTTACCCCCCTCCCAATTTCTTTATCCCCCCCCCCACCTCTGTTGTAGCGTGGCCGAGCTCTGTATGGACCGCGGGTACAGGGAGCTTTTGTTTCATGCTCCCTGTACCCGCGGACCATACAGAGCTCGGCCACGCTACAGCGAGGGAGTGACAGGAGGGAGCGCTGAGCACTTCCCTCCAGTCAGCCCCTCTCCTCATGCTGCGCCCGGGTGGTGCGCCCTCATGGACGCACCAGCCCGGGCAAAGCTGCAGCCGCCTGAGGCTCTCTACAGAGTGCTCGGGCGGCTGCAGCATGAGGGGGGCCGGCGCTCCTGGCGGCGCCCCTTCCCAAGGGGCGCCCTAGGCAACTGCCTAGTCTGCCTCACAGGTAGCGCCGGCCCTGTATATTATTAGTGACACTAATCTCTAATTAATCTCACATTAAAGGGATACTATAGTCCCCAGAACCACTGCAGCTTAATGAAGTGGTTCCGGTGTCTATAGCCTGTCCCTGCAGGCTTTTTAATGTAAACACAGCGTGCAGCACTGGCGTTAGTTCATATGGCAGATCATATGGGTGGGGCATTGTGATGTCACAAGGGGGGGGGCGGCAAATTTTTCTTTTGCCTAGAGCGGCAAAAATCCTTGCACCGGCCCTGATCCCAGGCTGAGCAATAATACTTGTATAACCAAAGGCTGATTGCGGAGTACAGAGAGGCATGTCCAAGCTGCCATTATTGCCACCCTTACATAAGATTAGAGTTGATTCAAGTGAAGACAAAGATAAGTCTTTAATGTAGTCTTGATTACAAAAAAATCCTTAACTTAGTGTAAATAATTCAGACTTGTTAGCATACATGAAAGGTTAAACAAAATACGAATTACTGACATTGTCATAGAGCAAAAATAGGACTTAGATTTATGCACAGTGAATATATTATTAGATCATTTTAAATTGGAGGTTTTTACTATTAACCCCTTCTGTGTGAAGGATTTTCATAAAAAAATAAATTAACGATAATGTTCATTTAAAACATGGGATGCACAGCTAGCACATAAAACGTGGAGAAAACAACAATTTTATATATAGATTGCTTTTCAAGCATACCTAAACAAAATAAAATTATGTAAATGTGCACAATTTTATTGTTTCATTTAGCCTTTCATCCTTCACAGAAATGGTAGGGGCATAAAAAGCATTTAGAAATTATACAACATCCCTTATTTTGCAAAACCTCAGACAGGTTCAGAAATATTTGGAGATGAAGCATAAATGTAGTTTTTGTCACATAGCAAACATGACACAAATAAAGATAAATAAAAATGATCTAATACACTGCTTATGTGCATTTGCTCAAATTATATTTGCATTCCCAATAAACATGTAGAATGAAAATAATATAAAAATAATGCTCACATACACTATGTATAGTTGTCTGTATAAAACCAGGAATATGTTCTAGACTTGTGCACAGCAATACAATTTAGTCTGCCCGAAAAAAATGGCAATCCAGGTTTCGACTATGTGATTATTCGGTTCAGACAAATTTCACCCATGCAATTGTTTTAGGGTAAAAAATTTTTTGGACCAACCAAAATTGGGCAAATACGATATTGCAAAATACACAGTCATTGGGAAAAGAAAGTACACCCTCTTTGAATTTTATAGTTTGCATATCATGACATAATCATAACAATCATAAGTTCTTTAGCAGGTCTTAATAGTAGGTAAATAGAACGTCAGATGAACAACACATGACATATTACACAGTGTCATGATTTATAATGACAAAATGGAGAAGCTATGTGTGAAAAACTAAGTACACCTTTACTGTTTCCATAGGAATTAAGAGGCTAAGTGGTGCGGGTGGTGCAAAGCAAATGTCTCTGATTAGTTGATCATCAGCAAGTGTGACCACCTCTATTAAAGCCAAAGTTTTAACAGTTTGCTAGTCTGGAACATTCAGGTGTTTTAACATAATTACCAAGGAGAAAAGACATCAGCAGTGATCATATAGAAGCAATTGTTGCTGCCCATCAAAACTGTGAGGTCTGTCATTCTAAATTGGGAAAGATTTAAGAGAGTTGAAAATCTTCCCAGGAGTGGACATACCAGCAAATTCACCAAAAAGTGAGACCGTGCAATTCACTTGCAAAAAAACAAGTTACATCTCAGACTCTGCAGGCCTCAGTTAAAGTTACATTTTAAAGTTCATGACAGTACAATGAGAAAAAGACTAAACAAGTATAGTTTGCATACTTGCAGTCAAGGCCAGACTGGGAAAAAAATTAGGCCCGGGCATTTTTCAATCAGAGCGGCCCCCCGAAGGAGGGGGCGGGGCTATAGACAAACACGCCCCCTCTCAAAGTGAGCATGTTGGTTCAATGCGCAGAGCCCTGCTGAAGAGCTCTAGCATTAGAAAAAGGCCCTGTATTTGTTCTGCGCAGCGCAAGCAAATTTAATAGCATGCTTGCGCTGTGTTTGCTTTTAAATTGTCTCTGGTGTCTCCACAAGTGGGATACCAGAGGACAAAAGGGCCAGGAAAGCGTATGGTGCATGTGTTTGGAGCCTGCTTGTGGGATTGCGTGTGTGTAGAGTGTGGTGTGGTTTTGTGTAAATAGGTCAATTTAATTTGTGTTTGTGGTGTAATATGTGTGGCTAGGGGCAGTGTGTGTGTAGGAGATCTAGTGTGTAAAGGACTCAGAGTGTGTATAGGAGATTGTATGTGTGTGTGTTTGTGTGTAGAGGATTAAGAGTGCATATAGGTAAGGGATCTAGCATGTATCTGGAGCGTAATGTGTGTAGTGGTGCCGTGTGAGGGGTGCTGTAGTGTGTATATATATATTTATAT